CCGTGGGATGCACTGTGACAGTTCTTCTGAGAGAGTGGGTGTTACTGTGGACTGTCCGTCAGCGCTGTGCCACCGGTACCTACATCCAGGCTCTGAGGGAGGCTTTCCTGAACATTCATCCGACTGGATTGACACCGGGCACTCTCCCCGTGCTTGGTGTGATTCAGTTGTGTAAAGAAAAATGTCAACAGAAAGCAAATTTTCACCTCTAGATGATTTAAATTATTCTTAAACGTGTGTGTGAGTGTCATATTTGAAGTGTACATACAAGTTTTTAAGTGTTTAGTCTGGATTGCATTTTTGATTAGCTAACAGAGGCCTACACATTGTAGGTCACAATAAATATTTTAGGAATTTTAAGTAAATGTTTTGGAAGGGGGGGGGAGGGAAGCACCGAGTTCCATGCCCTGAATTATGTTTTAGACTGTTTTCAAAGGCCCAAACAAATTATTAAAAAATGCCCCGTACCCTAACATGTCAAATTGCATGGTAGGAAAAGTGATGGTGAGCCAGACTCACAGGTCGAGACCAGTGAAATTCTGTAAAGTCTCTCTTCAAGTGGGCTCAAGGCAGCGATTTACAGTTACTGATTTATGGTTATTAAAATAATTCTTAGATTTTTTGAATGCCAATAATGACCAAAATTGGAAGGGGAAAAATAATAATAGTGGTGATAAATTATTTACTGAGCACCTTTTGTATGCCACATAGTGTGCTGGGTGCTTTATATATTACTATTTAATCCTTACAGTAACGACAAAAGTAGGTATTTTTTTTTCATAGCTGGGACAATTGAAAGTGGTAAAACTGGATAAGAATCTAGATCTGACTTTCTATTTATTTTGTCAAAAGTGTACTTCATTGAAAAGTTACTGTCTCTCCTTTTCTGCCACATTTATCTTTATGAATTTCGTTAATCTGAGGATCTCTGGAATGGTAATGTTACTACTACAAACATTATATAGTTCTTACTGTTGTACCAGGTAGCTCGGTCCATGTATCCTCAGAAGTATGTGGGCTAGCCACTATTTTTGTTTTATAGATGAGGAAATTGAGGCACAGAAATAAGTAATCTGAACCATATAATACTTTAACTGGTAGAACCAGAATGAAATTTGAGCAGTATGCCTCCAGAGTCTATACTTGTATCCACAACATGATTCTAGCCCATCAATAGGTAGTCTCTTGTTGCTAGAAAACTGTGATTTTAGAGTGCTTAGTGTTTTTCTTTGTTTCTTTTTAATGCTCATGCAGATACATGTAGGATAACTTTTGATGTGCACCACCTGATGTCCTATATCAATGTTTTATGTAAACAGTTACATAGTACTAGCCATAGTTGACCTGAGAGCTTGTATACTCCAACACCCCATCCCAACATTTAAACATCTCAAAATCCTCAGCACAATCCTAGGAGATAGATCCTGTTATTTTATGCTGCATCACATTTGTGAGGTGCTTTTATTGTCTTCAAAGTGCTTTCACAAAATAATCCCTTTGATTCTTCTATGATGTCAGTCAGAGGTATTATCATTTAATGTTACTGCTGAAGTTAAGATGACTTGCCTTAATTAGCATATGTGGAGTTAATACTCAAAGCAGAGCTGCAGAGTCCTATGTGCACTACTTTTGGCCCTGTACCAGTCTGTCAGTGGATCCTCACTTTGTACTTCTTATCCTAAAATAGATGATATTTTCCATAGGAACAGCTTCTCTTTGGTGATTATATTCCCAACCCAGAATTCATCATAGATATGACTAGCCTTTGTCTTATTTTCATCTGTTTATGTTCTAACTTCAGATACAATGCCTGGTACATAGTGAAGGCTCAGCAGATGTTTGAAGAAAATAAGAAATGTCTCACATACATTGATACAAAAAAAAGTTTTTAAAATTATTTTTTTTAATTGTGGCTTTATTGAAGTATAATTGACATAAATTCTTAAAATTCTCTAAGTTTAAATGGTGTAGCTTCATTTTCACTTTGATACCACAGCCTTCCCCCTACCCTACCTCACAAACAGCTTTCAAAACTATTTCATTGAATTATAACTAACTTCAAAATCTGTTAGACTCTATCTTTCTCCACCCCAAGCCATCATGCCTAACCTGCTGTCTCCCCTGTACTGTATCTCTTGTATATAATGGAAACAATAAGGATGTGAGAGTCAGTTTTACCTGGCTCTGCCTCTTATTAGTTCTGTGGCCTTGTACAAATTACTTAACTTCTCTGAACCTGTTTCTTCATCTTGTAAAAGTAGGGAGAACACCTATCTTACAGGGGTGTGGTGAGATTTTATTGAAATAATAGTTCCACCATCCCTAGAAGTACTCAGTAAGTAATAGCTCTTATGTGTCCCTCTTCTGCCCCTCCATGGCTCCCCTCTGCTTTGGCTCTCAGCAAATGGTATTAAAATGATCCGTTTGTCTGTTAGTATCCCTCACTAGACCATAAACTCCTTGACAGGGACCATGCCATATTTATTTTTGATGCTTGGCACATAGTTGGGACTCACTGAATGTTTATTGAACTACATTCATTTTGAAAGCCATGTAGATCCTTTTTTCTTGGCAATCCTGTTGCCCAAAGATTTTGGACACCCTTGGTCATTGGATATGTTATTCAAGGGCTCCTGGATTGAAATAGGGGATGTGACGTGAGGAGAGAGGGGTGGAGAGCCAGATGAGGAAGCAAGGGAAGCCTCCACTCTGCAGGAGTGAGCACATGAGGGTGTGTGTGTGCGCGCACACGCACGTGTGTAGATGTCCAGGCTTTTTATGTGAGTGCCAGGCTGTGTGTTCCAGTGTGTATGTAAGGGTTAAAGCTTATCAAGCTAATGGTTACATTACTTCTGAAGACAAGGAAGAGAACTTTTCCAAAAAAGTTGTTACAAACATATAAAAATAACACTAATTATAGTTTTTCATATAATCTCTCTGTCATTTATAGTTAATAATCACTTGGCACAATGATTATGCTTATCCCAAAATGTCAGATTAACTTGGTTTTAAGTTTCATTTGATTACATCAGTAAAAGTTAAGTATGTTCAGCCTCCCTTGTTTGTAGCATGGACATTCACTCACAGAAAAATAAATATTGCTTAGGACTAAATGAAATTATAATTCTTTTTAACTAGCTATTTTTTACAGTTTAATTCTATCTTCCTAAGTGTGCCTGATTTATACTTTGCTAATCAAAGTATAATTGATTACAATTACACTAATTGTATACAATTCCTGCCCCCAATGTTTTATTTTGAAAAAGTTTAAACATATAGCAAAGTCAAAAGAATTTCATAGTAAACACCTGTATACCCACCTGTTATATTCTACCATTAATATTTTTGTATTATACTTTTAATCACATATTTGTCCATTTTTCTATCCATCCATTGAGTCATAATGTTAAAATGCTGTTATATTTGAAGAGTTTGAGCTATATAGTTTGTGTTTATTTTAGGTCAATTTTAATTTTCCTTTACATAGTAACAGATAATTTTTAAGACATAAACTGATATATAATGTTCTGAAAACATTTGGATATCAGATGTAAATAAATTTGTCTTCTCTATTTCTAGTTCCAAAAAATGAGTCGTGGGTATTCAGAAAACAACAATTGCCTGAACAATAACAACCAAATGGTGTTAGACATGCTCATTTATCCATTAATCGGAATTCATCAGACCATCAACTGGGAAACTGTGGCAAGGCTTGTGCCAGGCTTAACACCCAAAGAGGTAAATAACAGTCCCACAGATATCTCCAGGAAAAAATCAGAAAGCGAGAAAATAATTTTGAGTTTTACTTATTTATATGTAGGTATAAATACTTAATGTGCATATGATATGATTTGACTAGATACAAACTATATAAATTATATAATACATTAACCCACCTGGTATGTCTATACAACTGAAAATTCACTCACAATATCTTTTTTTTTTTAATTGATTCCAGAGAAAGAGGAAGGGTAGGTATATATTTTTCTTCCTTTGCGCCTTCCAGTCTGCTATGGAATTTACCATCCATATCGATGTTGATGAGATTAAAAATGGATGCTATAGCAGTGTTGTTTGATCAACACCCATAGTAAGGAAGGCATTTTGGTGAAGGAGTACTTAGCCTTACTATTCTTAATGTACTATTGATATTTTCTAATATATTTTAATGTTTTGCTAATCTGGACCTTCTCAGTTGATTTCATGACCAGCTAATGGGTTAAGGGAAAACACTGTACTAAACAAACTAAGTCCAAGTAGGTGGCAATGAAGTGTTACTACGATATTTTATGCAAGGCACTGTTAGGAACAAAGTCTTCATTATTTTAATAAAGAAAATCTGGTGTCACAAATCAGAAACTTTGGTTTACTTTCCATGAAGGTTAGAATTTGGTCTTATTCCTGGTGGAAATTCATTTAATGTTAATATATTAGCCAGGTTTTTAACTAAATTATTAAAATTGCTATCTGATAATAGATGCACACCACAGGAAATATGGTTGATAAAGGCATTCTTCATTTTTCTACAAGAGCATAAACATATTAGGCCTTTGGGTTAAAGTATATTTTTTAAAAATTCTACCCTGAATTAAAAAAAAATTTTTCAAGGGCTTTTTTGTATTGAAACATATGCTCATTTTTCAGTAGTTACCCAGTGGATTAATATTCACTTACAAAAAAAATAATTATAGCAAAGTATCTTCAAATAGTAGGCAAGAATGTATTTTCTTATTTTTTTAATTTAAAGTCCCCCAGACCTGCATTTTCTTACTTTTATATCATTACAGTGTGCAAAAAGGTTTGAGGAACTGAAGAGCAGTGGAAGCTCACCTGTTGACAACCAGTATAGTCCCCTAATGGCTGGAGAGAGTCCTGTTGAAACTTTAGCCACGTATATCAAATCCTCACTTCTTGACACACACGGAGAATTTCAGGAAACTTCAGTTGGTCAGGATGCAGTTTCCAAAACAGGTAAGGTTTGAAAACAAAATGCAGTGTTTGTCCTTACAATAATTCTGCAAAATATTATGTATTACAGTCACCTTTTCTTTATTTATATAAAGGCTAATATAAACATTAATAGAAAAACCTATTCGTATTTGTATATTCCTAAGTTTTAGAAAATTTTCTTTTCTGTATATGAAAAAAAATTTAATGTTAAAGTACAGGTCATGCCCAGCCAGGTGTGGCTCAGCGGTTGAGCGTCGACCTAGGATCCAGACGATCGGGGTTTGATTCCTGGTCGGGGCACGTGCCCAGGTTGTGGGCTTGGTCCCCAGTTGGGGGCGTGCAGGAGGCAGCGGATCAATGACTCATCATTGATGTTTCTCTCTCTCTCTCTCCCTCTCCTTTCCTCTCTCTGAAATCAATAAAGATTTTTTTTTTTTTTTAAATACAGGTCAAATACTATTATCAAAAAAAGTTCTTTACCAAAATTTTACTGTCATAAATTTTAAAGGAATTTGCCCTATACCTTTTACTTAAAGTTCCCCCCTCTTCCCCAGAGGGAATCTTGCCTGTCTCTTGTGTTACCTTTTTTATCTTTATTGCAGTCAAAAATAGCTTCACATGACACAGTGGCAGGGTAGAAGAGATGTTTCTCACAATTGCTTTGGAAATAACTGTTTTTAGAAATCCTTGGAGTGTAGTGAGTTATTTTAATCTCAGCAACAGCGGTCAAAGTATTGATGTAAACATTTACTTCAGGAAGAGAAATTTATACTATTGGCTTTTGAGCATTTGACCCTGTTTCTACACACCATATCAGGATTTTTTTAAAGCTTCAGTATAACATTAGCAATTTGTTATCCCTTTTTTGGACTATTTCTTCCATGGACCTTTGGAAATACTGAGGGAAATGTCACCTGACCAAGTACCATCTTTAACTAGCCTTGAGAACCTGCATTTACAGTATAACCATTCATTAGGTAAAAACCCATTCTGAGCTGGAAATGCTAACCTCCCCCCTTTGTTTTTGTATGTGTTTGTTTTTGTCTTTAAGGAAGACATAGTATAGCTTCCACGAGGAATTGTTCTTCAGAAAGTGAAAATTGTACTACTCATAGTGGTGGAGAAAAGACTGAAGAATCTGAAGGGTAGGAGGCTGGTTCTTTGCCAGATAAGATTTAATATCAATATCCACTTTAAATTATAAAATATATGATTGGTGATTGTATACATCAGTTACTATAATTTAGGAAATAACACATTACACAATTGATAAACATTCAAAATCAGTGTTGTTCATGTACTGAACTATAAATAATTGCTTGATAGCTAAACATGGCTTATTTGTGTTATTTATAAATTGGACTAGTTTTTCATTTTAAAACTTCATTTTGAAATATTAGAAATAACCTCTATTAACATAAAACTTTGAAAAGTAAAATTTTAAATCTAAAGAAATATCTGTCATTAGTTCTCCAACTTTATTAAAGAAACTGGATATGTAATTTAGAATAATGTATTTGAATATAACTACTCATTTTAGAAACATTTAAAATTTAGAATATATCTTTCAGTATATTGCAAGTTTTGAAACTTTTGTATTGTTTTGTATATTTTACATACACTAAACTGCATATATTTTAAGTATTCACTTTGATGAGTTTTAACAAATGGGCTCACCTAGTATCCGTCACCCAAATGAAGACATAGAACATTTTCATTGTCTCTTAAAGTTCCTTTGTGTATTTTCCATTCAGATAGTTCTTTTTATAACAGCCTTATTACTATATAATTCACATACCATAACATTTACCCTTTTGAAAAAGTCCTGGAGATAGATGGTAGTGATGGTTGCACAGCGATGTGAATGTACTCAATGCTCCTGAACTGTACACTTAAAATGACTAAAATGGTAAATTTTATGTTATGTATATTTTACCACAATAAAATAAAATCACTCTTTTAAAGTGATTTTTAGTTTATTGACATAGATTTTATTTTAACTGATAGAAAAATCGGTTTGTATGGCAGAAAAATTTTATCAGATAATTTTTTTACTGGAATTATCTAATATTTTATATGGTGGTCCAAAATGTCACAGAAACTTTATGCTTCATTATACTTGCCATTACCTGTTTATATTTATTTGGAAGAACAATTTGCAAAGAGTTATTTAAATTCCTTTGACTTTGACAGAGTGTTAATTAATAACCCTTTTTCTGGTAGCCCAATTTTATTTCCAATATAATTATTTATTTATTTTTCAATTACAGTTGATATTCAGTATTATTTTATATTTGTTTTAGGTGTACAACATAGTGGTTAGGACAAATGTAATTTTTTGTGTTAGAAATTTATGAAGTTCAATTAAACACACATTAAATTCATATTGTAGGACGCTGTATCTCTTCTTATTTAATTCTTCCTTTTGTAATGACATGTAGGCAGTTGTGGATCACACTAATGTTTCTTTTTGAGGTAATATAATTTTCAAAGGATAGTAAATTCAAGGAGTATATAATTTTCGAAGCAATTGTTCTCATGTATTACCTGAACTTATTCTCAAATTATTTTTAAAATATGTAAATAAGCACATTGTAGTCTTAAGAATTCTTTTAACTATATTTACGAATTTATATTTATTGAATGCCTGACAAATTTTCTTGTTGTTAAAAATAAACTAAGTTGCTGTGCTAATTTTTCAGTTCTTTAGTGAATAATTTTAACTGTTTTTTCCTACTTATTACTAGTAAGAAAATTTTAGTATTTAACTTTATCTCCTTCCCAGACCCATAGCCATGTAAAAGTGCTATTTTATACTCATCACAAGAATTAGAATGTATTATTTAATTTTTCTTTGTGAATTGGTATTGTTTTTTAAAAATTTTCTCACTTTTAACTTGAAAATAATACATTTAAGCCCCATAAATTACGAGTTCCATAGTAAAAATATTTTTGTTTTATTAAGTTAGTAGTTTAAAATTATTCATAATCTCAGGTATGGATCAGATTAGCAAGACACTTAAATCCTGTAAAACTAATTTGTAGTCAAACCTTCAAAAACATCTTGTTCTCATACTTCCAATAAATGTTAATATTCTTGGTTCCTCTTCTAAAACCCTAACAATTTCATTTCTGTGAAACATTTTTTTTTGCAGGCCAAACATGGTGATCCATGTATGTGATGAAGCAAAAAGCTTGAAAGAAGATTTTATTTGTCCACGAGATCTTTTGATATCAGAAATGAAGTATTTTGCTGAATATTTATCTATGGATGCCCAGCGCTGGGAAGAGGTGGACATTTCAGTTCACTGTGACGTTCAGATTTTCAACTGGTTGATAAAATATGTTAAAAGAAACACTAAGGAGAATAAAGATTGTGAGATGCCCACTTTAGGTAAAGAACAATCTATTACTTATTTTGTAGTTAAATTTGTGTCACCTGGTAGTTGCTTCAGGCCAGACATGAAATGTGGATAATTGCTTGAACATTAACATTTATACTCAGATTAGTAATTTCCCTTTAGGAAACAGATACCTCATCTTTTTCAGTAAATTATAATGAATTTATGGCAAATGGACAGGTCTCTAGATCAGCATTTCTCACTGTATGGTACATAGACCACTGGAGTTCTGGAGGATCCTTTTAGGGGATCCACGAGGTCAAGACAGTTTGCATAATAATACCAAGATGTATTTGTCTTGTGTCTTGACATATGTTCAGGTGGTGCAGAAGTAACGGAGGGTAAAACTGGTGCAGTGTCAGCTCACATCAAGGCCAGGGCACCAGACTGTACTCTGGTGGTCTCTGTAATCTTCAGCACCATGTGTTCATAGTAAAAAGGAAAAAAAGAAAAATAATCCAGGTTCACTTAAGAATGTCCTTGATGAAGCAGTAAAAATTACTAATTTCATTAAGTTTTGACTCTCGAACATAACATCTTTGTAACATTCTGTGAGATGACACAGGAAGTGGACTCAATCACACACCACAGTATGGTGGCTGTCTTGAGGAAAAGTACTGGTGCAGTTTTGTGAGTTGCAAGTTAACCTAGTTGTTTTTTTAAAAATAGAAAACTATTTTTACTTGAAAGAATGACTAACAGACAAATTATGGTTATTCAGACTTAGGTATTTTGCAGATACTGTCTTGAAAATGAATTAAGTGAGCCGGTCAACTAAAGGGAAATAATTGCTAATATTTGTTGCCAATGATAAAATTCAAGCTTTTAAGTGAGAATTAAAGTTTGGAAAACTTGTATGTGCCTTCATGTGCTTGACAGCTTCTTAATATTTAAAGACTTTTCTGATGAGATGTGTGGTCATATTAAAAAATGTGATTTTTTTAATATATTGTACAATGAAATGTTTCAACATTGGAGGATCTACATAATTCAATGAACCAATATTTTCCAAATGACTAATGCGTGATGTTAAAAAAAATCATACATGGGGTTAAAGGTTCAAAGCGCAAGATCAATCAGTGGCGCTTGAGGTAACAGAATGGAAAAGTTCATTGATGAGATTTCAGATCCCATTGCAGCTAATTTTAAGAAAGTACCATTTGTCAAGTTTTGATGTAACATCGAAGAAGACTACCCACATAGAGAATGTAGAACCAGATATGAGAATCCAGCTGTCTTCTATTAAGTCAGACTGAAGAAATTTGCAAAAAATGTCAGACTGTCATTCTTCCCACTAAATTTTTTTTCATTTTGGAAAATATATTTTTCATAAAAATATGTGAACATGTAATGAGTTTATTCTTTAAAATGAATTAATAAATTTTTTTCTTTTAAAATTTCTAATGTGATAAATACTGATACAACCCATATAGGCTCTTTAGGCATCTAAAGAGCCAGCTGGTGCTATTGTTTCAGTAATATTGTTTCAGTTTTTAAGATTGAAAAGGAATCTTGAGAGTAAAAGTTTGAGAACCAGTATTCTATATGATAAGAAAAAGAATTACTAAGTAATCTTTCATTGAGCATAGACTTGTATAGGAAATCTCACGAGTGGTTTAATAAAGTCTTTCTGTGCACTAGAATTGCTGTTTGCAGCAGTACCAAAATATTTCTAGCCTCTTATTAGTAAATGAATCTATACTGACAGTATAAAAGTTTTCTGAGGAAATTTACAATTTATTACATTTTAAGGACCAAATTTAATGGAAAATTTTCTAGTGATCCTTAAATAAAAATTGCAAGATTGCTAAATCAAAAATTTCAGCCAATCAGAGTTCAGAGATTCTAGACCATCCAGATATGATAGGTATGTGTGAAGTAAAAATCAAAATACGTAGAGAGAAAAAACTTTTCTTATTGTTTGATCCAGCATATTTATGTGTATAATAAAGGTAAAAAAAAGTGGTAGTCACTGCAATCTTTGACCTTAAGTCAGTGACTAGAAATGTAAACTTTTATAAACACAGTCCTTATTCTAACCTGGAAAACTACCAAAATGCTTAATTAAATCTCTGATGATTCAGCCATTGGGCCTTCATTGGAATGGATGATATTACAGTTTTCAAAGGAACTTTTTCACCAGTTCCTTCCTCCCTTCATTTTTATTTGAGAACCTTTAATCTAGAGTTGTTATTTAAGGAAAGGTTGGGATTACTTATTTTAATCATTGTATAGTTCTTTCTTTAGATGGATTGTCTTAGTGCTGTAATGGTAAAAATCAGATTTTTCCTTTTATTAAATATACCTCATAGAAGATGACTTAGGTTTACTGAAACAATAGCATCAGCTGGCATCCCCTTTCCCTGGTTGCCTCAGAAGGCTTACTCAGTCTGCCTTTAGGAAGTAACTAGCACTTCTACAGAAGTAAATTTTATATTATCTTTCAGAATCTTTTTCATTAAGTATGTGTTCATAACAAGCATTGAACTGCTTTTGAAATAACTAATAACAAGGGTTCTCATTAATCATTTAAAATTACTTATCACTGATTTTGTGTGATGAATTATATTCTCCATTTTAATTATCTTTTCTCCTGGTTTAGTTAAGGAGAAGTTTGCATGTGTCATATCTTTAGCTGGAGTCCTTTTACTTGACATAAATCTAACTAATTCTAGGACAAATTTACTGTGCATTTTCTTTATACCCTCAGTTTGAACATTTTCTTCCTTTCACGTATGTAAGCCATAGTAAGTTTATCTTAAAATATTATTAAAGTATCATCCTCTTTTAAGGTGAGAGGAAGCTTGCTTTGAGGCAATTGAGGTACAAATAAAAAGGAGAATTAAAATTTTTGTTGTTGCTTTTTAGAGCCAGGAAATGTCATTTCAATTCTTATTTCTTCAGAGTTTTTGAAAATGGATTCACTGGTAAGTATTAATAAAAGATCTGAGCTCTTCTGTTCACCCAGGCTTGATTTAATCTTTAACTTGATTTTTCCTTCAAGTGATATAAAATTCTAAGGCATCTATCTGAAGTTATTGTTAATTCAAGCGCATGACTCGATTAGAACTACTCATGTTTGAAGGTATTTTGTTCTGTTGTGAAATGGGTTAAGGCTACTGTATAGCATTTATAGGTGATGCCTATAAAGCAAGCAATATATCCTCAAGGAGCAGCTCTCTTTGTATTAGAATTGACTTTACCCTAAAAGGGAGTTTGCTCTAAAACCAAATTAAATAAAAATTAATTGGAATTTTTTTTTTACTATTTAAGTAATTTCTTTAAGCATGTTTTGCTAATTTGTGTCTTTCATTTATAGTTCAGCAAATTAAGAAAAAACACCCAACTATTAAACAATATAATTTTGAATGGGTAAATCAGATGCTGATATCTGTTGTTTAATGAGTAGTTGATGAAACATAAAGCACAGTATATACATATACATATACATATACATATACATATACATATACATATACAGCTTTAACATTAAATACATGTGTTTTTCTTTTTATTTAATGAATTTATCATTCAAATGTTTTTATATATTCTTGTGGTTTTACTTTAAATAAATATTTGCTTTTAGTCCCTGATAAGACTACACAGGGCAGAACACTCCTTTGCTATGTTAACAGATGTGAAATTTGTTTATTTGATTGTTTGGGGTTTTACTAGTTCCCTGTATTCTTTCTACTCCTTAGTCCCTCCCCCATTCAGTTGATGGTATTAGTTGCTTCAGGGAAGGATTATAGAAGAAAAAAATCTTTTTGAAGAGTCTTTAACATTTGAGTTTTGAAATCTAAGCCCTAAAGGATAATTTTTCTGCCATAAGCAAAATGTTTTAAACAATACATGATTAGCCAATGCTAGTTTTCCCCAGAACCCAAATCTACCTCAAAAATTTAAATAAATATACTTTAGGTTGGAGAAAGGGGAAAAAAGAGCAAGCACAACACGACTGAGAAAACCCTGAAGTGACTGAAATTATGTTTTTGCTACTCAGAGAAATGGGAACTTAAAATTGTAACTAAGTTCAGTGATAGGAAGTCACATATCCTGTACACTTGAGTTTGTGGACTAAGATTTATACCTGCCACAACCATGAAAGATGCTCATTGCAGTATTGTTTGAAACATTTTAACAAGGTTGAAAATGATTATTCTAGCTATGTTTATGTGTTTATACACATTTGACCTGCTGGACCACTTTGGAACAGTGTAGATAACCCAAATAGGCAAAACCCAAATAGTACCTAGCAATACATGGATAAGGCTTTTAATGAATTTTATCTTTGAAAGGTATTGATATGACATCCTTTATGCTGCTATTTTCAACATTCATTTTCTATTCTGTGTCTTTCAGGTTGATCAATGTATTGAGTATTGCCACAAAAATATGAATGACATAGTAGCTACCCCATGCAACATGAACTGTATTAATGCAAATCTTATTACACGTATAGCTGATTTGTTCACACACAATGAGGTTGATGATTTAAAGGACAAAAAAGATAAATTTAGGAGGTAATTTTTAATTTTAACTCTAGTGTTCCTATTAGAAAAAAATATTTCTATTTCATTTTAGTAAAACATTCTATTTTTAGGTTATATTTAGAAATATATTACCATTTTATTTTAAATGAAGTAAAATATATCCAGAGCCAATTGTTCAAGATAAAAATTAGTAATTAAATCAGTTATTTTGCATAATATACATATGAGTTTACTGTTGCAGTAAATTATATGAGGAATTAGTGAGACTGGCCTTAGTATAAAGGAGAAGAGTGGTAAGAAGTGGCGTCAGCAGCGGTCATGTCACTTAGGGGCTTTTTAGGTCATAGTAAGGAGTGTAAACTTTATTTGGAGTGTGAATAGCAGCAGAGGAGTGGCATGATCTGGTTTGTTAAGAGATCATTTTGGTTGCTATGTGGAGAATAGATTATAAGGATATAAGAAGCAAGGAGACCTACTAGGAAGCTAATGCAGTAGTCTGGTGAGAGACAAAAATGTTGGGAATTGAGTGGAAGCAGTGGAGATGGAAGGAAGTAGATGGAATCAGAGTAAGTTATTAGAAAGATATGACAGATTTTCAAATGTAATGATGTAGGAAGAGTATTCTAGGGTACTTACTAGGCTTTAAAGTTGTACAAGTAAGTGGATGGTAGTGTCATTCACAGAGAGTGGAAAGATTGAGGTGAAGGGAATCAAGAGATGGGTTTGGATCATGTTAAGATTATTTAATATACTTTTAGACATCAGGTAGAATGACAGGTAGATAGTTGGATATACTAGTCTGAAGTTCAGGTCAGAGGTCAGAGCTTAAAATAGAAATATAAGCATAGATGAGGTTTGAAACCATAGAACTGGATGAGATTTCCTAACAAATTCTCCTTTCTCCCCTGAATTCCAGTGGCACCTTTATTATAAATCAGGTGAATATATGTGAGGTTTGTTTCTGAATTCTCCATTTTCTGTTGATTTCTTTGTCGATACTTATATCAGTAGCACACTGTCTTAATTGTAGCTTTCTAATATTTTTTTGGTATCTAAATTCTCTAGTTTTTTCTTTCTTCAAGATTGCTGTTTTAGCTATTTTAGGTTCCTTGCATTTCCATATAAATTTTATAATCATTTTTTCTTTCTCTCTCTCTCTCTCTCTCTCTCTCATACACAGACACACACACCTGTTGGAATAATTTGGGATTAATATTGAGCCTGTAGATTTGTGAAAATTTGACATTTTAATAATATTGAGTCATTCAGCCCATGAACATGGTATACCCATCATTTATGTTAGCCATGTTCTATAGTTTTCAGTTGAGAGATATTTTTCATTTTTTATTAAATTTATTATTGAGTATTAAATTTTGGGGGTGTTGGTGTAAATGCTATTTTTATTTATTTAATTTTCTAATTGTTAGTAAGAGAGCATTGATAAAAACTATCCAAAATTTAGAGGTTCAATAGAGGAGTGACACCAGTGAGGGGCCTGAGAAGGAGGAGCCAATGGGTTGAAGGAAAGAAGGTTTCAAACAGGAGGAAGTGATTAAGTGATCAAATGTGTAGAATTCTGTTGCCATGTAGAGTAAGATGAGGAGAGAAATATAACCAGTTAGATTTAGATAAAATTTTTCCAGATGTTTTGCTCTGAACAGTTGCTGAAAAATTTAGCAGTAGCTACTAGGGCTAGGTAGGCTCAATAAAGACTTTTTTTTAAGGAGAGAAATATTAGATTATGTTTATTTGCTGACCAGGATGATTCATTAGAGTGGGAGGAATTGATCATGTAGGTATTGACCCAAGAGTTTAGTCCTTAAGGGAAATGAGACAAAGGAGAATAATTATCCAAGAGCTAAATACTTAAAAATGAGATCAGGGTCCTAAATCTGGATCTGGCCTTTAATAGCAGATGTTACATGAGGGAGAATGGAGACAGGATGGTCAACTTGGAATTAATGACAATTGGCTTAATTAGAAGATTTAAATTTCAGTCACATTTTGCATGTTAATAAAGTATTAATATTTATTGAATACTTACTGCTATGTTTGGCACTCTTTTTTTTTTTTTAATGTTTTTATACCATTAGGGACTTCTACACTTTTTTTAATATTTGTTTTTATTGATTTTTAGAGAGAGAGAGATAGAAACATTGGCTGCCTCCTGCACACCCCCTACTGGGGATCCAGCCCACAACCTGGGCATATGCCCTGATCAGGAATTGAACTGGGTGACCTCTTGGTGCATGGGACAACGCTCAACCAACTAAGCCACACAGGCCAGGCTCTGGCACTCTTAAACAACATGTCATTTAACCCTCCTAAAAACTTAGGAGTTTGGAATTATTAACCCCATTTTATGGCTGAGAAAACAACGATCAGAGAGGTTAAATTGCCAAAGATCACATACTGAGTTACTGGTAAACTCAGAATTGTTAAATTTCCACAATCTTCAGTCTTGAATATTCTACCAACAAAAGACTAAAAGAGGGGTAGTTATTCATCAGTCTTATTTTTCTTGTGAAAATAGATTGTTGATCAAGCAGTTCCTTTTAGGAGGTGTATTTACTTAGAACACTAAAACTTTATTACAAATTCCCAGAGAATTAATAAATCTAAGGGTTTATTAATCTTATTTGCTACATGTGCAGATATGTCAGCATTTGTTTTCATTACTGTTAAGTAGCTTTAGTAAAGTAGATATAGGAAATTAACTTGTTGGTCATTTGTTAACAGTAAACTGTTTTGTAAGAAAATTGAGAGACTGTTTGATCCTGAGTACTTGAACCCAGATTCTCCAAATAATGCGGCAACGCTGTACAGGTATGGTGACCTGTTTTTCTTTGCTTTGCTATATGATGGAGCTAAATTCTTTAATTTTACTACATTGAAATTTTTCTTCTTGTGTGTTTTTGTATCTTTTTTTGTTATAGATGCTGTTTGTGTATGAAACTTTTAACAAAAGAAACAGAAAGAAGAATTCCTTGCATCCCTGGAAAAATCAATGTGGATCGACATGGAAATATTGTGTACATTCACATAAGGTGTCGTGAAAATAAAATACAGCTTTTCACATGTGGATTACTAGTGTATTTATAGAAGCATTACTACTCCTGTAAGGAAAAGGATATACTTTCTGCATATGATCCAACTTTGATTTAGAAAGATGCTACTTTCAAAACAAAGTTGTTTTAAAGGCTATGTTTTATTAATTGGGTAATTATCAGTATGTTTTCAAGTTTTAAAAGAGTAAAAATGGTTGTGCCAAACCGGCTAGGGCACATCTAATCAATTCTTAATGTGCAGCCTTTGAGAATAATGTTGTAAAGGAATATATATTTACATACAAATTGTTAGTAGTAAATTAAGAGGCAAAAAGAACAGGTTATAAAACAAAACTAGAAACACACTCAAATGTTAACTGTGGTGTTACCTTTGAGTAATAGTATTATGGATGGTTTTCATTTTCTTCATGCTTGTTCTTATTTCTATATTAAAAATGTACACCACTTTTATTAAAGAAAAACTGACAAATGTTAGATTTCATATGTTAAACATTAAAACAGAAGTACAGAAAACGCATTTGACCCTAATATGAATAGCACAATCAACTTTAAATGTTTCCTTTTTTCTGTATACAATAATCAGGGAATCTTTGTTAGTTATTATAAGCACCTGGGATTTTCTACTTTTTTGTCTTGAGACTTTATTCATCTTCTAAAATTATGTCCATTCTGCCCTGGCCAGTGTTGCTCAGTTGGTTGGAGCATCATTCCAGACACCAAAAAGTGACAGGTTTGCTTCCTGGTCAGGACACAGACCCAGGTTGTGGGTTCGATCCCTGGTCAGGGCACATGCGGGAGGCAACCACACATTGATGTTTCTCTGTCTTTCTCTCTCCTTCGCTGTCTCTCCCTCCTTCCTCTCTCTAATATCAATTTTGACAAATTATATCCATTCTGATAGCAATAACTTTTATGTATTCTATGTATATTCTGACAGTGGTAACTATGTGAAAAAAATGATACTAACTTTAACATCCATTTTTGTTTTATTCAGAGTATTTTCCAGCAAGTCAGCTGTTGATATTTTTTAAATTGTCTTTAACTTAAAACAGATGTGCCTGTGTAACTTGTAATAACATGATGGCATTTTGTTATTTGTTGAACCAAGGACAAAAATAACAAAAGTTTGAAAAGATTAAGGGACTTGGAAAAAAATAGGAACTTGAGTTACATATGACTGTAGCAAATAGGGTTTTAAGCCTTTGCTATTTTTAAAGTTGATCTTACTTAACTTAAAAGTGTATATTACCAAGGCCTGATTGTATATTACTCAATTGCTAGAAAATGTCTTGAGAATAATATAAAGAACTGACACATTAATGAAATGTTTAGAATCACCAATAATTAACTTATTATACAATATGTACAATTAAAATAAAGCAACATATGCCTAAGTCCCAAACGTTAGCCTACTCAAACTGTATTTAAATTATAATCATTTATGTAGCTTAGCAAAATAATTTGGCATTCAACCTTTCATACATTTTCCTGTTGTCTACAGGAAAAGAAAGCATAAGCAGACTCCCAAATGAAATTTTATCTACCATTCATTGTAGTCTATCCCATAGCCATTAGTTGGGGAATATTTTTGGATATAAGCCACAAATTTAAAAACATTTGCTCTAATCAGTTGTTAATATTGCTTGCTTGTAAAATAATGTAACAATTGAGGCTCTTTCCCCAGAGATAAGACTTGGGATGTTCACGAGTATCTGAACAGTCTTTTTGAAGAATTAAAATCTTGGAGAGACGTATATTGGCGCTTGTGGGGAACAGTCAACTGGCTGACTTGTTCGAGATGTTATCAGGTGAGATTTTTAAAAATGCCCTGCTCTGCAAACATTGAGAGCAGGCTCTTTTGATATATGCTGCTTAATTAGCATGTTTGGATGTGTATTGACAATATCTGACATCTTTTTAAGAAATTAGAGGCAAAAACTGGTGCTATTAATAGATAAAATTTCATTTGTAGCATTGCTTACATCTGACTTGATTTCTCTCACTACGTTTCTTCTTCCTCTTTATTTTCATTGTTGAAACAATCAATGAATTGCTGAATTTTTAGAAAACCAACAAGCTGCGAGTGACCAAGTATATTTTTTCGGCAGAAAAATAAATACAGAGTCCTTATTGCCTCCAGTTATTTCCAGCCAAATTGTTTCTCTGTTAGCCCATACATTTCTTTAGAAATCCAGAAACACCTTTGCAGATAGGCTGTTATTGATATGTGCCCTCCTTGTTATAACAGCTGTGTTCCCAAAAAGGGTTTGTTTTTAATAAATGAAGTCTGTAATAAAAGCACAAGAAAGTTTGCTATTTGAAAGTACCTATAAGAAATCCTTTTATAGAATAAATAGGTCTTTATAGGTCACAATCATTCCTAATTAGTCTTATTTATAATCCAGAGTGTTCTACATAAAATTGTTTATGACTCCCTAATGTCTCCCTGCCCCCAGCAATTTTCCTCTCTCTCTTGAGTAATGATTTTCAGTAGAGGGAAGGAAGAGCTGCTTATTAAAACCTTCAGAGTGAGATTTCTCAAACTGTATAGGTTTATACCCAATGGACTTCCTGTGTTCCTACAATTTAAAAAATTGGATTAATTGAAGTATAATTTATATACAGTAAAATTTACCTTTATATGGTAAAATTAATTCCTTTTATGAGGTTTGACAAACACAGTTATGTAGCTACCACCACAATCAGAACATAAACCACTTCCATCACCCTAAAAATTTCTTGTGCCCCTTTGTAGTCAGTTCCTTCTCCCACCCAAGACTTGGCAACCACTGACCTGTTAAGTGTCTTTATAATTTTGACTTTTCCAGAATGTCATGCAAATAAAATTATACCATATTTAACTTTTTTAGTTCAGTTTTATTTACTTAGAAAAATGGACTTGAAATGTTTATCCATTTGCCAGTGAAGGACTTTGTCGGTGTTTCTAGTTTGGGACTATTATGAAGAAAGCAACTATAAACATTTCCTGTAGACTTTCATGTGAATATAGGTTTTTATTTCTCTTGGGTAATAACCTAGAAGTGGCATTGCTGGATTGCATGGTAAATGTAATCCTATCAGTTTTCCAAAGTCCTGAACTTGCATTCCTCCCAGGTACGGATGAGAGGCCTAGTTGCTCCCCATCTTCACTAGCACTTGATATTGTCAAATTGGTGTGGGTTTTGTTTAAATTTAAGAGGAGTGTAACAGAGTATCATTTATAATCAAGATTATCAGGCTTCTGAAACCTGACTTGTTTAGCTTATCAGAACATAGAAGATTTGAGGGATTTTTGCCCCCTTCTTTATAGCAAATTGAATATTGATTTGATTTATAACACTTAATATTTATTATGGAGAGTTCATAAACTCAAAAACTAGTTTGTATGCTAAATACTTTTGTATATGAGTGTACACCTTATAGCTTTCATCAGTCTTAAAACTTTTTAATTAAAAATCACTTGAAAATCATAACTGGAACTAACAACTAAGAATTCTGAATTATAGACTATCCTTTTTTGCCTTTGTGTTCAAGATTAGTGCTTAAAATTATTAATTTTGTTGTTTTCTTTAATTTTACCAACTTATAAACGTATCTGAAACCTATTACTTTTATAATTAAACCTTGATACATTTCTTTACCAATGATTCAGTTATTCCATAGTTTTCATTAATACTAATGCTAAATATTTACCTTAAAAATATGCCAAGAAATAATCAAGGCAAAATTTTATTTCATTATTTTCATTGAAAACTTTTTATGTGATTGGCTAATTGTAAAATTAGATGTGCATCAAAATCAAATAATCTGAATTTTGAGTAAAGTGTTTTTGTTTTTTCTTTTTAATAACTTTACTGAGGTATAATTTTATGCCATAAAATTCATTCATTTTAAGTATACAATTTAGTAAATTTAGAGTTGCACAACCATCACCACCATCCAGTTTTAGTACATTCCCATCACCCCCAAAAGGTTGCATGTGTCCATTTGCTGCCACTCCCCAGTCTTACCTCCAACCTCAGACAACCACAAATCTACTTTGTGTGTCTAAAGATTTGCCATTTCTGTACATTTTATGTAAAGGGAACATAGAATATGTGGTCTTGAATAAATATTTTTGAGATGTAAATTTCAGTATCGGAATAATTAGCTTTATGCATTTATTTTATTCAGGTTTTTCTCTGTATAGAATTTTCTCATTGTCAGTATCACTCAGAAGCAGTGGTTTACCCTCCTGCCACAGGCTCACCAAGTACTGTGGGCGCTGGGATTTATCCCTGCTGTGACCTAAAGGTTCTTCGCTTTGATCCTACTCGGCTTACAAAGGTAAATGTTGAATGTTGCCTTTTTGGAGTTACAGTGCTCACTAAGACTTTTTATTTAAATCTTTTTCTCTTTTATTGTTTTTAAAGTGTAAAGGCAATACATTCATGAAGGATTGATAGTATTAGTGTTACAACGAGCATCCTTGCACATACATCTTGGAGCAATACATGAGTATTGCTATAGGTTAGAGTCCTTGATCACTAATGCTTTTGAAAAGGTTATGTTATTAAATTTCATGGGTGATGAAAGGAACCTAAAGCTCTTTGTGTATTCATACAAAGGAATACTGTGCATTAAATCAAATGTTGGTTACATGCAATAAATAACATGGTTGAAGCATAAAAATGTAATGTTGAACCAAACAACCAAGGCAAAACTAAATGATAGTATTTAGGGATGCATCTTTAAGTGGTAATGGATAAAAACAGGAAGAAGTAAGTACTATAAAAGTCAGGGTAGAGGTTATCTTTTGGAAGAAGGGTGGCAGGTAAGGGCTCATGGGGACTCCTGGAGTGTTGGAAATACTCCATTTCTTAATGTGGATGGTGGTTACATTAATGCTTTTTCCTGTGTGTGTTTTTTCTTGAGAAAAAGAACTAAAATGGTCATCTTTAAAGGAATGTTCCTGTAATGAACCAACCTCTCCAATTTAGTGTCTCTTGTACAACAGGGTTGTAAAGTGAAAGACCACATGGTTGTTCTTCATGATCAAGGTGAAGGTGGAGATTTGCTATCTTGTCCGACTGCTAGAATACTGGAGGATCTGCACAAACACAGAGATGTCATTGTTGTGCCTTTTTCTAAAGATACAGTCAGGTGAGGTAGGGTGAGGGCGTGGGTTTGGGGGAGGGATGCTGTATTGCAGCTTTATTCAGCGAGTCCCATCTCAGAATCCTCAATCTCCTGGTGCCTCCCCAAATCACCAGTGTCAGTCCTCAAACAGTTTACAGTATTTCAGAAAGCTTAACTGAAATTATACGTTAGCTTACAATAAGAGCAATCAGCACTTCAAAATATTAGAGGTCCAGAGGAAGAAAAACTAATAAAAGGAGTCCTTGATGATTGAAAGGTTGGGACTTACAATACAATTTTTGAGGCGTGTTTTTTTTTTTCTTTTCCCAAATTACTTAAGTTCATCTTAAATGCTTGATTGACACAACTGGAAAAATAGTTGATGGTTGAGGTCATCTTTGCATAAATTTGAGCTCCTTGAAGTCATTAATTTCTGAAGTTACTTCCATCATCTTGCAACTACAGCAGGCTGTCAGGTTGAGGGTAGGAGGACCCTTTAATAAAGGCTGTTCTCAAATTAGTACACATTCTAGAAGCCCGTTTCACCACCTGGCAAGTAAGGTGCCTGGAGTGTAACGGTGCTCCCCCTGTATGGAGTATTTTCTGCTAGGAGAATCAGTAGGTGAATTAAGGAATGTAAAAGTTGCCCAGCCAGGAGTGGCTCAGCGGTTGAGCATTGACGTAGGATCCAGAAGATAGTGGTTCAATTCCCGGTCAGGGCACCTGCCAGGGTTGCAGCTTGGGGGTGCATGCAGGGGGCATCCAATCAATGACTCTCATCATTGATGTTTCTATCTCTCTTCCTCTCTCTGAAATCAATAAAGATTTTTTTTTTAAAAATGTAAAAGTTGTAGTGGCATATCTTATACTCAAGAACTGTATTTCTAAAGAACAATTTATAAAACACTTGCAAATAAAAAGATGTCATTCACATTTAAATTCTTAAGAAATGGAACACTTCTCCATAATGTGTCTTTTTCTTCCTAGTGATTCTGGGTTTGGTCCCTGTGAGGAGAAGGGCCTGGACTGTGATGTTTTACTGGAGCCAAATACACCATGGGGCCCCAAAACTGGGGAGCTCAATGCTGTGAGTAGCTTGTTTGACTTTTTATTTATATAAACAATTAATGACATTTAATCTTTGACAGAAACCTGGATAAGTTTAAATCGAAGTGGGGTTTTTTTTGTTTTTTTAAAATATATCTTTATTGATTTCAGAGAGAGGAAAGGAGAGGGAGAGAGATGGAAACATCAATGATGAGAGAGTCATTGATCAACTGCCTCCTGCATGCCCCCAACTGGGGATTGAGCCCTCTTCCCGGGAATGTGCCCTGACCGGGAACTGAACCCCGATCGCCTGGATCCTAGGTCAATGCTCAACCTGTGAGCCATACCCCGCCGGGCTAAATTGAAGTTTTAATTTTTAGGTAATAAGTATTTACTGACTACCTGACTATAAGGATAATAGGACATATTCATTGTGCTCAAAGAATTAATAACTAATCGACTTAAATTTGGGGGGAAAAATATAACATGGCCTTCAGGGTTTTTACTGCATGGGTAGATGCAGACTTATTAATCTCTTATTTTTTTGTCTTTTTTTATAGTTTTTATCACTGAAAAACTGGACTTTGCAACTGGTAAGTGAGCAGCTATATTCCACTTTCATGGATCTCTTCCTAAATTAAAGTTTAGTTTAATATGTTATCAGTATCTTATTTTATAGATTTTAGTTAAATGTTTATCATCCTTTTCAGTGTCTACAATTTTGTACTTTACTGAAAATGTCGTTGTTTAAAACAGACACATACTCCATTATCTGGCTGCACAATCCATAAGTATTTAAATGACTTTTTAAATGTTATTTTTATGTCACATTTAGAACAGTAAACAAAGCAACAAATCTATAACTGGAACTTTTCAATTGTTTGGCTGTTTGGTTGGTTATTTGTTTTGTTTTTTTTACCTGTTTGCCGTTACTATGCCATCTGCCATCAGTACTCACAAAAATGGGGTCATAATTGGATCAGTGATGACAGACAGTAGGGTGGATAGATACAGGAAACTGATGCAGATACGTGTAAGTAATCCAGAACCCCACTGACCCAGAGAATGTGCACATGTGCTTGTTTATGAAACTATTTTAATATTGGCAATTACTGTATTTTAATTTATTCTTAATATCAAGGAACATACATTCAGTTGAGTGATAGAGGTACAATTCAGCAAATACTGAGTATCTATTAGATGCCCATCACTCTGCTAGAATTTGTGAAGGAAATAAAAAAATATATATCTTATGTAATGCAATCCTAAATATAGAAATTCTTATGTCTGTTTTCTGAATGTTGTGCTAGGCAGGCAGTGGTCATTTTATCAGCTCTTATTTTCATTCGTTGAAAATAAATTTAAATAAATGTGTTTGAAAAAATTCATTAGGGATGTGATAAATACTACATTTTTAATAGGATATGTATTTTTTTTAATTCAGAAGCAACAGTCATTGTTTTCAGAAGAAGAAGAATACACCACCGGATCTGAGGTCACTGAAGATGAGGTTGGAGATGAAGAAGAATTATCCAAGAAACAAAGTACATTGATTTCTGAGTTAAAAGCCATGCCTTACTTTTATGAAGGAGTTGTATTCTGACGACTTTAATGCAAGGGATGAGGAATTGGCTTTTTAAGTCTACAGGGTAGGCTAGAACATGGAAGAAAATAAATAAAGGTGGCTCCATCAAGATTTCCTAACCTTGGCACTAACACAGAATCCTCAATAAAATTATAACCAAAGGCAGTGTACTGAGAAATAATCCTCCAAGTTTTTATTTCAAGTGTAACCTAATGGGTTTCTCAAAACGTATGACTCACATCAGTTTACCTGAGATAATTTGAAGTGACACTCAAATGAAACATTGAATAATAGTCATCAAAATGTGTTTAAGAAAATTAAAAACATGATTTTATACAGCTAGAGAGTGAACTTGTGTCAAAAGTTTTCAATTCACTGGTGACAGAAATAGCAGGAAAAAGGTATAATTTACATGTAATAAAATTCACCCTTTTTTCAGTGTACACATTGGTGAATTTTGACACACGGTTGTGTAACCACCACCAAAATCAAGACCTAGAAGTTCACTCCAGAAACTTACCTCTTACCCCTTTACACTCAGTTCCCTTTCCCCACTCCCAGCCCCAGGCAACCACTGTCCTATGCTTGTTGTCACCATGGTTTACCTTTTCTAACATCTCACGTAAAGTAGAATCATGAGTAGTCTTTTGTGTCTGGCTACTTTCACTTACTGTGATGTTTTTGAGACTCATCCACGTTGTATATATCAGTAGTTTGTTCCTTTTCATTGCAGAATAGTATTCTGTTGTATAAATATACCATAATTTGTTTATCCATTTACCATTTCACGGACATTTTGGTTGTTTCCAGTCCTTGGCTCTTATGAATAATGCTGCTGTGAACATTTGTGCATAAGTCTTTGTGAACATGTTTTCATTTTTCCTGGGTAGATACCTAGGAGTGGAATTGCTGGGTCATCTGGGAAGTGTATGTTTAACTTTATAAGACACTGCCAAACCGTGACCTCCTGGTTCATAGGTCAACCTCAACCATTGACCCACGCCAGCCAGGTTATACTCACATTTTAGATCTCAGGTCTTTTGTGACTTTCTTGCTTCCAAAATTGCCCCTTTATATTTCCAGCTTCTCTGTTGCTTTGAAGCCTTTCCATCTTTACCCTGGAGCCCATAAGGCTGTAATTTTTCTCCCTGAGCTGGGGAGATTGGGAAGTACCCTCGGGCAAGAAGGGCACAAACTCACAGTTCTTACTTCTTGCATCTTTCAAATGTAAATATTCAATTTCTGCTTGCTATAGAGTATTTGCCAGTGCCTGCAGATGGTTGTTTGTAATATTTTTGTTCTGTTTTTATCATTGTTTTCTTTGGAAGGAGTTATCCAACCTCTTTACACTGCCATTATCAGATGTCCCACCCTATCGTGTCTTTTTAAAATTAATTTATTTTCCAATTAATTAGTTGGCCCACAATATTTTAGTTTCAGGTGTACAACATAATGATAACATTTATATACCTTATAAAGTGATCACTCTGATAAGTTTAATACTCATCTGACATTATGCATAGTTATTACAATATTATTGACTACATTCCCTATGCTGTACTTTACATCCCCGTGATTATTTTTATAATAATTTTAAATTTTTCAATTACAATTGACATACAATATTATATTAGTTTCAGGTATATAACCCAGTGATTGGACATTATAAAGCAATCTTATATATAGCACTTTGTAATCTTCCAGTTTAACAAAGAGGCACTTGTCAGGGGCTCAGGGCTTGTCAGCAGACAAATAAATCTATCTAGATTATTAATATTGTTTTGTTTTTATTCTAGTATCTTCAAGGTTATCTAATATGTAGTACGTTTTACAGGTTTTTCATCTATGGTAGTGATAAAGTTTCCCTTTTAAATAATATAGCAAAAATTGTGAAGATGGTATACAAATAATTGATGTTTGGGAAACAGTGATCCAATGTACAGTATTATCCTTACCTTCAAACACTGTTTTTAGAGAAATGCTTCTCTACTCCTTCTTTTCTGCTCCTCTCCTTTCTCTACTTAACTGTCAGCCAGAATAAATTCAGAATACTGACTGCAGGAGTGGCCCGTCCAGAATATAATTTGTTCCAAATCTGCTGCTTCCCAAGATCACTTCTGTCCTGCCTTCATTTTTACCTTCATAGCCCACCTCCTGCCTGAGCAAAGGACATTTTAAAGATTTTTTTGGGAGTTCTCCCATTCTCAAATTGTATTTTTCAGGGTTATAGTTGTTTTTTAATATAAAAACATTGGAATTAGGAGATGACTTCACTGTCAAATTAGATTAAGAGAAATAAATATGTATGGTTTTCCCCAACATTTTTCTATATTTAATTTCATTGAGACTTTGAATTCATTGCCCTCATTTTTCCCCCCAAAGGTCTTCACCAAGTAAAAAGAAGAAAAGTAATTAAAATAAACCTGTTAAGCACTTTCAGTTTGACTTCTCTGTATATTTACTTTTATCCAGAGCTAATTAGTTAGTTTTAAAAAAACAATGGTTTTTAAGGGTTTTTTGTTTGGAGGTAACAAGTGCATTGGAGAAATATATGGGACTTATGACATTGATTTTCTGTTATCAGGGAAGAAGGAGAAGCCAAAGAAGTTCACTAAACAACCCAAAAAGCAGATGTCTTCACCCTGTGGTCAGAAGAAAGAAAAGGCATTGGAGAAGGTAACTCTGAATTATATACTACTATTCTAAAGCTCATATTGAGAAATAAGCAAGCAAGCATAGCCAGGAGAAATCTGAAAGAAGAGTAGCAAATACCATAATGGAATGCCAGCAGTGTAAAATGAATGAGGTTCTGTAGAGACCAAGATTAAAGATCTCGAGGTTGACAGGTGAAAAAGAAAAGGGTAGAATAGTATGTAGAGTGGCATATTATGTTACCATTTGTGTAGTATAGGTGAAGGAATATATATGAATTTATTGCATATACATAAAATATCTCTGGAAAGCTACATAAGAACTTGATAAGATTGGTTACCTCTAAGGAATGGACCTGAATGTCTGGAGGCAGAGGCTTTTTATTATATGTGCTGTTTGTACCTTTTGAATTTTGAACTAATGTTACTTATTCAAAAAATACATAAATAGACTTTAAAATAAAATAAGATAAATAAACTTTTAAATTTTTAAATAAATTATGCAGCATTGGGGCAAGAGTAGGTTTACAGTTGTTTGTATGGAAAATAACATAATTAATACCTAATAATACAAGAATAAACTGTTTAACGTATTCACAACTGTAAATCTAATTTTGCCCCACCCTGTATTTTATGGTCTTTTAAAGTGTCATGAAATAAAGGGGTAAAAAAACAGGTAGGAATAAGAGGACCATAGTAACCACAGTTGGCTAAAAGAGAAACCATGGATTACAAAGATGTGTGAAAGCTGGGGTTGAGAGAAGTTCCACACAATTACATTGGATGTTTGCATGTTCATCTTTGTGTTAAGTACTGCAGACACATGAATGGGCAGATTATAAAAGATTGTGTAAACTGGGGCTTCCAGGTCAGACAGAAAAAGCTGGGGTCAAATTCCAGGTTTGTTTCTCTTTGGCCAAGATTCTTAATTTTTACAAACCTGTTCTATCATAGAAATAATAATAACACCTGTCTCACATGGCTATTGTAAGGCTTAAATGAAATAATACTTGTAATGCCCTTGGTACAGTGTCTTGCACTCAGTAAATGTAAACTTTTATTATTAACTATAGCACTAACCAGTAAATATGTTCTAATTGGGCCTTAATGTTGTCTACTTCTTTTAGTCAACTTCTAGAGATGTGTCTCCTTTCATGTGAGTATTGCTTCTGCATCCAGTCAGATGTTCACTGAAAGCACAGTGCTGACTTTGTTTAACTTTCCACTAGTGTGAGTATGCAGCAGAACAAGTGGGATGTCACAAGGTCCTTGAGATTCAACCAGGATGCGCAAAGAGAAGATGGTGAGTTTTATCGTTTGGGTAATATACAAGTTAGGTACAAAGAGCAATAATAAGAATCGTTTATATTATTAAGTATACTGAATAGCCTTAAATGTTTCAGCTGAAATAAGGTCCAGAATTAACACATGCCTTAGACATCAACCAGAGTTTCATTATTACAGTAGCTAATGCATTATTTTATGCATGTATGGTTTTGAGGTCTCAGACTGACTTTTGTCCACTACTTTCACTCTAAAGATGACAGAAAATGTTTCAGGCTGATTTACAGTAATCTTAAAAGCTATCCATGTATAAGCCACTTTGCCACTTGTGGCCCAAAATGCTTCAAAAATAAATAGGCCGTAGGTAGTCTGTAAAATATCTTCATAAACACTTGATGATTGCAATCTTTTTTAAGAAATAAAAGTTATAAACCATCATCATAAAACATAAGATTTATTATTTTTTAACTTCAGATCAGCGGCGGATGTCTGAAATTACAGGGCACCTGATAAAGATGAGATTGGGTGATCTAGACCGAATCAAGGCAAAGGAATCAAAAGAAGTAAGGATTATGTACCAGCGTCCTGTGCTTGCATAGATATGCCTTTCTACTTTATGTTCATCATGAGAAATATAAAGCTGTTTTAGGAAGTCTTTAAAAAGAATAAATATTTTTATATTCTGGACCAGTTAGCCAATTCACTCACATAAAAGTTTCCCACTGTCTCTTATTATTCATGGTTCATAGGTCCTCTGTAACACACTTAACCAAGTACATTGTCACTGAAAGTGGCATGTCACAGCTGGAGTAGGTTAACTATCCAGAGGGTGGCTTTCAAGAAGTTGCTGATGTGGTCAACCCTGCATGCCGGGTGGTTATCTAAAATAAGATATTATCTTGCTGAAAATGATGACTACAGACACCTAGAATTACATATTAGTCATAACATTATGTATTATCATAGTATTGTTATTATTTAGTTATAATAACTCTTGCCCCTATTTTTGCATTTAAAAATTTACCTCCCTATAACACTTCAAAAAGAAGACATAGGAAAAAATCTTTGTGACCTGGGTTAGGCAAATAAATATATCTTAGCTGCAATACCAAAAACATGATCCATAACAGAAAAAAAATTGGCAAATTAGACTTCATCAAAATTTAGTTCTTTTTGAAAGACACTGTTAAGAAAATGAAAAGACAAGTCATAAGCTACGAGGAAATATGTGTAAGATACTTATCTGGTAAAGGATTTGTATCCAGAGTGTATAAAGAACTCTTAAAACTCAAAAATAAAGTAAACAATCGAATTAAATGAAATGGTCAGAAGATTAACCATACAGTTCTTTTTTTTTAAATATATCTTTATTGATTTCAGAGAGAGGAAAGGAGAGGGGGAGAGAGAGAGAGAAACGTCAATGATGAGAGAGTCATTGATC